CAGGAATATCAGCAGAGATGTTCCTTTCAACATCAAAATGGAAAAGCCCCTGACTTTAAGGGACTCATCATTAATAATATAAAGCAGACTGGAAAAAACCCCACCACAGAACAAAGCTGCATTCAAATGCAGATTCATCAGCTGTGCTTGTACTACACTGAGTCCCAGACTTTGCTCTCCCTGACTTCAAAGAGCAGGATTAGGCCCGTATTCCTAATTATATTTGCTTGGGAAGAGGAAAAGGGAAACAAAAAAATAAGAGTTTCATTTTTGAATGCATATGGAGATTAAACAATAACCCAGAAATACTCATATAAACCCCGCACGAACCCCAAGTGCGCTGCAGCTTTGCATTGCAGAGGTGTTTGAGTTTTGGGCCACTGTAGGAGCGGGGACCTGCCCACCCAACCTCCACACGTCTGGCCCTTGGGAGCACAGTGGAGACCCAGCGTGTGAGGGGCTTCTCTTATTAACAAGGAACCCAGGAGCCCAGTACCAGCCCTTTTCTCTTAGTAACCTTACAGGGCAAAGCCAATCCAGACACCTCGGTGAGAGGAAGCAGACCAAGGGCCAAATCTTGTCCAGTTTTACCATTAGTGCTAGAGAGGAACATGGGCTGAAACGGCCCTAGGAGGTCTGAAAAGACAAAAATAAATCTTGCGGGCATAACACACACACACACACACACACACACCCCCAACCCCACTTAAAGAAGGCAGCACCAGCTCCAAAACGAGGGCACGGCTACAGAAGCGATGGCTGATGGCATCACCTCCAACCCCGCACCCGGTCGCTCCAGGCTGTCAGGAATGCATTCACTTCACTTGGGGGTGGGTGCAAGGCACAGACTAAAGATTACTGGGAGGCCAGAGGGCTGCGGCGTTTCCTTCCAGTTTTCAAGCTCACTCCTGGCATCTGGGGTGAAAAGCGCCACGCTGGTTACATCACAAGTTACCCTTCTCCTTTCTTTTCCACCCATGCCCCAAACCTGATCCCTTCACTCCACTACTCAGTCCAGGGGAATGTCCAGAAAGCGTTACCAATTCCTTGAGAAATGTAACATGACTGCTTCAGCAAGATGCAGTCTGGCACCGGAGTAACCCGTCCCGTTACCCCTGTCTCATCCTCAGTATCACCCTGCCCAGAGATTGGAGCAAGGTGAAATTACAGAGAGGTTTTTCCCCCCTTTTCCCAGCTTCCTTCTTGTGAAACAAAACTTTTTTTGTACAGAAGAGGCTGTTAATTCAGCCCCAGTATTTCCAGCTTGGGGAGGCTGTGCCAAGGCTGCCTGCAAGCTGGGCTCCCACCCACGGCAGGGGCGGCAGAGCTCTCCCCGCCCTGCTGAGAAACAAGGAGATGATGGAAAGAAAACAAAACCGCTGCAGTCCAGCAGAGCAGGGACTTCCCGCACGGGCTTCCTAACATCCCTTCATCCTCCTCCCTAAACGTTTCTGGTGTTCCTCCAACGCCTCTTGATCAAACACGGATGTGCCAAACCTGATAGCTGGCTGCTAACACAGGCAAATGCTCTGCAGGGTCCAGAAGGCAGTGAAGTTGATGGCACATGAGCCAAGCTGTAATTAAAGCCCTGATTGTGACTCCAAAAGGTTATTGTAGCAAGTCATTACCTCAACAAGCTTTCTGTTAGCACAAAGGTTTGAAACATCACATGGCTGTCCTTAGATTACAAGGCATTCACTATTTCAAACATCTAAATTAGCTTTCCCCCCCTCAGAACTCCAACAGAAAGGAGGTGTTCTCAGCAGCACACCCGTGCTGCAGCTCCTACTGTACCTGCACAACCACGCTCACAGGTAGGGGAACACTGGGGAGAGGTGGGGCGCTACCTGCTGCACCCACACGCAGTCATGCACCCTAAACCTCTTCTGATCTTTAAGTCAAATGAAATGATACAGCCTCAAGCCCTGACCTTCTCCTGGTGCCAACATGGCTGCCCGGGGTCAGGTGAGCACCATGCTATGCAGAATGCAGTGACTGTCACCTGAACAGAGCGGGTGAGGGCCGAGAAGTTTCCTAGAAGCAACGGTAGGTGCTGTGTGCAGGGGGATCTGCCCGCTCCCTCCCTCCCTTCCTGCTGCTCGCTGCCTCCCAGTTTAATTTTCTCAGCAAGGTGAGCCTCCCCAGGCACACGAACAGCCATGGCCTCCAGTGCTGCTTCAGCTTACTGCGGAGCAGCAGTCCCTTTCTGCGGGGCCGGGAGCGGTATCCTCACGGCAGCCCCTTTCTGCAGGGCCGGGAGCGGTATCCTCACCGGATACAGCACTAAAAGACCTTCCCTCTTACACTTCCATTTGCCACGTGCTGTGCTACTTCCCAGCTGTATATTTAGTGCAAAAATAATTAGAAGGTCAGAACAGAAAAAGCCTTTGTTTTAAACATGCCTTTGAAAGAGAATAATTGAGCTTTCATGCTTTAAAGAAGAATACGGAATCAGCATAAGCCTGTTGCACATTTACACACCATGGTTTCAAGTGAACAGCGAAGAGGCAGCTTTGATGTTGCCCATTTTCTGATGACTGGTAATTAACAACAACAAAAGGAGCTTGAAGAAACATCAACTAGATTTTTAAAAACACCACCAGCCAGACAAACACCTACACGGAGGAAATAAATATCTGCAATGTTAAATATAATGATGAGAAATAAAAACAAAATCCTGAAGCCAAAGTATAGCAAGGGCCTATCTCCTTTTCAAACTTCCCACAAGTGCCCGTTGTGCCTCATTACATCCCGTTTTCTTTCCGCTTCAGCGGGTACTATATTTAATAACATATAGAGATAAATTCACTACTGAATCAAGATCTATTCTGGAAAAAAAAGTGATGTCACCAAATGCACCTGGGCATAATTATACTGCTCACTGCAGGGGGGTTGGACTAGATGACCTCTAGGGGTCCCTTCCAACCCAAAACATTCTATGATACCTTTCCCCCCTCCTCTGCAACCAGCGAGGACCCTGACAACTTCCACGCAAGCAAGACAGCTCTGGCTGAAGGAGGCTATCCGAGAGAAGTATCTACTTCTTTAACTTCTACCTTAAGAGTTCACATTGTCAACCTACATGAGAAATTAAAACATGGAGGATTACAATCACAATTTTTTGGCTTTATTAAAGACTGGGAAAGATATTAGCAGGGCAGCAGTTAAAATGGCACATGAATGAGCACTGACTGTGTTCAGCCACAGGGGATATTAGCCACCTGCCATTTCAAACTGAATCTTCGTATCGGAAATTAACATTAAAGACTGAACTTCAACACCTTCCCCCCCGCTCCCCCTTACCCCAGGCCGTGGTGAAAACCAGCTCATCGGCAGAGAAAGCGACGGTTTTGTATTACCGAAGGAGGGTCACAGGGAAGAAGGTGATGGCAGTGCCAAAGCAATGGAACCTTCCGTCTGAAGGTGGCCTTCGGCTCTGTGCTGCGTGCAAGCGCCGGCAAGCCCCGTGATGTGCGGCAGGGCTGTGCACCTTGGCACCCAGGGCACGGCTTAGAGCCAGCCC